GGCATCCTGGTGTTTGACACCATTATCATCATCATTCTCCATTATTATCAAACGCAAACTCATGATATGTCTTAAATTCACATTATTTAGGCAAATTTAATTTGCAGATCACACTTTTTAAATCATCACCGTGTTTGGAAGCATATTAAAATCCAATCACATGACATGGTCTGAATCAGCAGAATTAGCTCTGGTGTTACACAATTGTAGGTCAAACGTAGATGCAAAATGTGTTTTTCCTGACGCATTCATCCAAGTCGTCCACGACGAAGATCACAGGATTCACTTGAAAGCTCCAGAAGAGCTTTTGAGACAATCAGATAAAAGTCCCCAATTCCATTCCGACCGCTGAAGAAGAGCGTGCGATATGATCAAAAACTCCCAAAAAGCTCCCAAATGGAGCTTGTGGCGGGACCGTTGCCTCGGCAGCTGATTCAAAGGTTAGGAGAGAAATTTTAACTTTTGTCAAGTGCGTTTCGGTTCATATAAAATGTAAAATATTTACTCCACATTTTGCCGTGCCAGTTTATCAAAGGTCAAGTCTGACGGTTGTTAACGGCCGTCCCCGAGCGATGGAGAGAGCGGATGTTCATCTCTGAGCCTTTCGGAAGGAAACTTCTCTCATAGGTCATGTTGTAAAGTACATCTGAAATGTCAAATAGTTTGTGTCCATACAGAAGACTTATCTCTCCTTCCCGAAAATCGAAAACCTGAGCAAAACGTTATCCAAGAGCGTCGGTTTTTGGGGCCCGATTTTCCCGCCCTGTGAGTTATGTCCGTCATGCGCATGATTGATTTATGCACTGAATGACGTATTTCTTTACAAGGCGGCTCTGCTTCAGACCGGGAGTTATTCCACCACTTGACCCTCCCTCACTTGTTTCCTCCACGCCTGCGTCTGCTGAAGAGTAATTAGCGGCGCTCTCCATTAATCACCCGTGTGAGTCCAAAGGGGCCAGACGTGGCGGCGCCGCCCGGGCAGGTGACCGCGTCCGTCTACCGCATCCGATCCCGCCGACTCGCGCCTCGTTCCCGATTTGTTCAATCAAGACGTCGTGGACAATTTGTCTGGCGCGCCTCGCGGCCCCCGAGACATCCTCCGAGCTGCACGCACGGGGAGAAAATTAGAGTATCCGTCAGGCGTCCCCGAGGGCCCCGGCTCCGGGAGACGCGGCGTCCTCCCCCCTCTGCCGACGTACCGGCCGCCTGCCTCACTTGTCACTGTAATTAGTTTTGTTTTTTTTCGCTGCCATTGTGCTCAGCGGCCCTGCTTTATTGCTGCGTACGGCGGTCGGGGGGGGCTCGTTCCACGGCCCTGGCATTAAAAGCGGGGCGGCTTTAAAGGCCCGACATGAGAGAAGAACCGTCCTCCTGCGGCATTGATTCCGCCTGCACTCAGCGGCTCGTAATAAGCAGGCGTACTTCCTTGTCCAGCTCCCCATTCATTTGTGTCCCTCCGCAAAACAACAATTACGGGCCTGTGTTCTATTGATGAATCAGAGGGGGGGGGGGGGGGGCGGGGGTTTAATTAATCAGCCGGGTAACGACGCATGCGGGTGGAAGAGGTCAAGAGCGGAGAGAGAAAATCTCAGAGAGCGATCAGCAAGTGGGTTTTTTATTTTGATCGTGGAAGCGCTTGTGTGATGTGTGTTGTGGGAACAGAACAGAAACCAGGGAAGAGGGACAGCAGACGATGTGCAAAGGGTCATCAAGACCGTCGTGGCCCCACATTCCACGTGACATTAAATCAGGTTGATGGATGAAGCCGTTTTTTGTGATTTGCACGTATTTTACCACCGCTAAACGACTGCCTATACAGACCACGTGATCTTTATACTACTGGTTTGCAGTAGTTTGCCATTTACCTCAAAAACACATTAGTTTGAGACTCATTATTTTTCTTCCTGTGGAGTAAAGCAATGCTCTTTGTTTGGCATCCATCCTCTCTTCTTACGTTCACATTCTATAAGATGTATAATTCCACATCCAAGCAAGCTCAGTCGCCGTCCTTCAAGGCGGAATTATTATAATAAAATGTTTTAAATGTCAAACCGGGACAATTCCACAACATAACCAAGTGGTTCTACTGTAGTTTGGTTTTGTGTTGTCATTTACACCCCTATGCATATATTTGAAACTACAACAGGAATCCAAAATGTAGTTGAGGTGCAGTTTAATTGTGGGGGAACGTCCACCTGTAGCTGCCCGGTTTGGCAGGGATGTTTGTCTCTGAGTAAAGACAGAGTATTGTTCTTGGACTGTGTGTGTAAGTCCAGGGACATCAGCATGAATTATGCAGCCTCCTGGAGGTTCAGCCTTTTTGCATTTTGGAGATGCACTGTAATCATCCGCGCTACCTTTAAAGATAAGTGCACTCCACAAACAGGCTCCATGCTGTCTTGGCAACGCAAAGCGCACATTTTCCAAAGGTCAGGTGCTCCAATTTCTTTTTTCCAATCCCACTTTATATGCATATATATTTTAGCAGGCGTCACACCCTACGACAACGACGGCAGCAAACTGACTGGCTGGCTGCTGATCCTCCGGAACCCTAAACCCATTCACAGCGGCCCGCTGCGGCTCCTTACCCCCCCCCCCCCCCCCCCCGAGGACCAGGCGTTACCAACACCACACGCGTGTTGCGGGTTCATTTGTAACCGACGACAGCCTTTTAGTAATCAGATAGTGGTTCGATAGACGCTGAACTGCTGACTCCCCGGAGGAAGGCTTCTGAAGGGCGATTTACCACCTCAGTGCTGATGTGATGTCTATCCTCTGTTGGCTCTTTGTGTTTGTGTATAGTGGGGTTGGGAGGGTGGGGGGGGTCTATATCTCTCGGTTTCTTGTGAGTGTGTGTGTGTGTGTGAGCGGTCCTGTGAGAAGGGGTAGACGTTGTGTGTAAGCAGAACCGAAAAGAGAAAGAAAATGCAGCGGACAAGCAACCGATGCTGCAGCCGCCTCCCTGTGTCCAATGACAACGGAATTCACACCTTTTGTAAAGACAGAGCAGCGTATAATAGCCGCTGTGACATTTTCATACAAATACACATTTCCCTCCTCTTAAGTGACAATGGATACGGCACAATAGCCAATAAACCTCAAAGCGTTTCATCAAAGCTTTCCAATTCGCTGCTTCCAAACACTCAGCGTCTGGGAGGCCTTCAATGGGAATAATTCCCCCCCGACACACAGGAGCAAACGCTGCGTTTCTCTCATGCAGCAGCACACATCTTTTTAGTAAGAGCGAAGAAGTTAGAAATGAGCAGCAAAAGCCTAAAAAACATAAACACGCTGTGCAATTTATTCATAAACATGAACTCATTATACAAACCTTAATATATCCGCGTGATTCCCTCCCTGCTCAGGTGAATAATATAAACTCTGTGCAGGGCACAGAACTTAAAAAAAAGGTTCTTCTTCCTTCTTTTTGATCTTTTGCTTCCTCCCTGTAGTCTCGTATGAATAAATATGTGCATGTTTTCAGTTTCTGCAAGGTTTGCCTCTTTTAATCAATGCACAGGGCGGAGACAGGCAGGCAGGGAGAAAATGATGCATGCTATACCCTTTCCCTCCTCTGCTCCATTCGCTGCAGATTATGAAGGCACGGTGACAGCAGTAAACGTGGGGAGGCAACAATGAGCTGAGACGTGCTTGTATGGGCGAGTTCTTCATGTCTGAAGAATAGAAAACCAGAAACATGCTACAGCTCATTGTAGATTCATCATATCTTTACGTGCTGTCACAGTGGTGGAAGAAATATTCTCTTGACATGACAATTAACAGTCAATTAAATACATTTAAACCAACGGACATGTTGGTGCAAAGAAAGCTTTTACACTGTCATTAATCCTGAACCCAAAGTGTGCTGCTTGCTTGGAGTACGGCGGCGTCCTCGAATCTCCAGGTTGGTTTGATCCCGGGTCCTGCACTGTCCACATGATGAAGTGTCCTCCAGCAAACCCCTGAAGCTGTTCCTTAAACTGCTGCTAAAGGATGAGTCAAAAGCCGAGGTCTCGTATGGGCCAGTTTTTAAATGAAATATAATTTAAATACGGTGGCAAAACAGAACCAAAGTAAACACTCAAACTCTTTGAAATCCTCGGATGACGACGGTAGTCACGTGTCTGAAACCTGACCTTTGACCCCTGTGAATCGAATAGCCTGGCGCTTGACCCCGGGTTAATAATCTGTGCGTGAGAAGGGATTCGGCCTTAGCCCAGGGTTGAGGATAGCTGCAGACAAAGAATACGCAGATTAAAAAGCTCCATCAGTTTAAGTTACTCTTCATGAGTATGTTACTCTTCATTACGCAGCCTGTGAAAACCACTGGATAACATCTGCCGGGGCTCGCAAAGGAGCTTTCTGAAGTTTGATTCAATTTAAAACCCAATGATGTTATCAAAGCCCTATTTAGTTGCATTTTCTGAATCCAGTAATCCAGGTGCACTGTTTTTTTTAGCACTTGACCCAAACTGGGGATAAAAAATCTGGATATTTATGCCTCTGTGCTTCTATTTTGTGAATCTGTCTCATGTGAGTCACATTACTTTTCTGGAATTGAAAGTCTGAAACGCTGGTACGCCTCCTTAAAGTGCAAATGAACTACATGAGTTAAATCAGACGGCTGCATGGTGTAATAATAGCAGATGACTCCCACTCTTGTGTCAGTGGAGTCTTCCTTCCACACGTTACCTCCGCTGTGCTCATTGTGTTAATCTACCGCAAGAACAGTGACAGTAGCTTCAAAACACTTTCTGTTTACCTGACACTTCTATCACGTGAGTGAGTGGGCGCTCACGCACCTGTCGACCCCCGGGCTGCCTGATGGGTGGAGCTCGCTAACGCTGTTTGCTGCCCTAAAGCAACACCTGCGCGGCCGCGTGGCCGCGTGCTCCTGCAGAGCGGCTCCCGCTGCGATGCAGGACTCGTGTCCTCGTTCCTCCCGGCCCCATTCGGTGTGCACCACATGCAGCTATTCGTATTTTCTAACCACTCCGTAGCTCGCTGCATCTGGGCGATGGGCTGCGGGAACGGTAAGGTGCTGCCCGAGGCCCCCGAGAGGGGCTACGTCAGTGTGGTGCGATCGCTCGTGGCCTTTAGCAGAGGTCGCGGTGACGACGAGCCGAAGAAGCGGAGAAGCTTGTGGTTCTCCACCGGCGTTGACCACCTTCAACCGGCATCCACCGGCCGACAGCAGGTTCTCAGAGAAGGTCCCCATCGGGACAAAGTTGCAAAGTATAAAGACAAGTTTGATGCACGTGTGACGGCGAGGTAAGAGGAGAAGGCCTGTTTTCTATTTGTCATCTGTGCTGCGTTTTCACAACAGCATTATGAAAAAGTATTTTGTAGTCAATGAGTTAAATTTTGTCAGTTATGTTAAAATGCAATTCTTGTACAAAACTATTAACCGCTAACCTGCTTATTCCAATGTCAACCAACTCCCAGTGTGAATGGCTGAACTGTAAACAGGAAGTATTCTTTCCATCCTGCAGAGAGTTATAACATTTATGTAAGAATATATCTCATTAGGAGCATTCACGGTGCTCATGGAAGACTTTAATGTCAGCTTCCTCGTCCGTCGGGCCTGGTGACACCAACCTTTCCACGCTAAGATTTATTAGCACCAATCGTTGAGAGATCTAAAGAATTTACTTGTCAGATTGGAGCATGGAAACAGTTAACGCCTGCAAAGTGCACGGCTGTGTCTACAACTGATTAGTCCCATCTTGTATGAGGCCGCTTGGATGGACTAAATCGCTGCACGTATGTGTGGATCGGCCGTGTCCGCCATGCAGATACCCTCCCATACATCACCGCGAGACACGTGGACGTCCTCGCAACGGCGTCTCATGTGGCAGTGATGCGGTAACGACTCCTCTTTCCCCTCCTGCCTCGTCAGGTACGACATCAGGGCCCTGATCGGTCGGGGGAGCTTCAGCCGCGTCGTGCGCGCCGAGCACAGGGCGACTCGCCAGCCCTTCGCCATTAAGATGATGGAGGTGGAGGCCCCGGAGGGCCGCGAGGTGTGCGCCGCGGAGCTGGCGGTGCTGCGGCGGGTGAGCCACCCTCACGTCATTCGGCTGGTCGAGGTGCTCCAGTTCCCGCGGCGCGTCTACGTGGTGCTGGAACTGGCCACGGGCGGCGAGCTGTTGGACCGCGTGGTCAGCAGGGGACACTTCACAGAGAGGGACGCCACCCAGGCCCTGCGGATGGCGCTGGCCGGGGTGGGACACCTGCACCACCTGGGCATCACCCACAGAGACCTGAAGCCAGAGAACCTGCTGTACTACCACCCCGGGGCCGACTCCAGGCTGCTCGTCACCGACTTCGGACTGGCCACTTTCGGCGGCGCCGGGTCGGAGGTCGTCGGAGGAGGAGACGGCGGCGGAGCGGACGGGAGTTGGTCCCTCAGAACCACCTGCGGAACGCCCGAGTACATGGCCCCCGAGATTCTGCTGAGGACGGCCTATTCCTGTGCGGTGGACATGTGGGCGCTGGGCGTGATCGCCTACGTCGTGCTGAGTGGATCCATGCCGTTCGAGGACGACAGTCGCACGCGGCTCTACAGATCCATCGTAAGAGGCAAATACAGCTTCCGTGGAGACGTAAGTTCACACACTGGAGTTTGGGGCGTGAAGTGAAGTGTCTCCGTTGGAAACACATGCATATTGTGTGATTCTACGTGCAAGGATCTAGATCTAGTGCCGTTATTAACGTCCCCTAAATACGGCAAGACGGACGCTACAACTAGTGCTGCGACTCAAAGCACAGAACCAGTGAACCTTAAAATCATACGCAATACATGCGTCGTATGTTCACAAAAACATCCATGAGAGTGCTGTCATGTTTCAAGGGCTGTGCTTGCAAGGAGTGAAAATGAGTAGCTGTTATTGGGTAGGTCGTTTTATCCGATTTATTCCCAGAGAACAGGTGGAAGTTGTCATTCTCATAGTTTACAGATCCCTTCACAGACTCGACCTCTGCTTCCACTGATGCAATTTTGACATTGTTTTGACAGTCTTGCACAAAATCCCCACGGCTGTGCTGCCATGCAGTGAAAACTGAGTCTGTTTTTTATTTATTTTTTTCGTTATGTGGATACTGAACAGAAGAACACACGTTGACTAGAAAAGCTGTGGTTCTTTGGCTGGCTGCGGTTGCCGCTTTTAAACTATCTCTCTGAAAACAGTGTTAAAGCTTCTTTAAGTCTGTTACCTCTCACTTAACTGCAGCAGGGAATGACTGTCTGCCTCACTCTGATTCAGCAGGAATAAAGCTTGAGCCTTTGGAAGGAGGGAAGGTATTCTTCAGAGCCTCTGTCATCATTAGTTTATTCAGGTATTGCTTAGAATCAGATCAGTGGTAATAATAAGAACTGTATAAAAACAGTCAATCCTTTTGCAGAAGAGTCATTTGCTTACTTGCATCTTAAATAATCATCAATAACGAATTGAGACTGCAGGTAAACGCTCCTTTACCTTTTAATAAACCCTCCAGCTGCAATTTCTATTCTGGCATTTAGCCTTTTCCAAACAATGCAATCTGTTTTCCCGTCTATTCGCATATGTCACATCTACCTGCTGCCAAAAAAATGATTCACACCTTGATCACTATGCAGTTACAAGTCCCAGAAATAGCAGCATTATTCCACCCTTCCGTGGAGCGTGGATTTTCGGCTGAGCAGCGCGGGTCGCATTGGAGCAGAAGGAGGGGAAGTTTGTTGTGGCGTCTGGAGCACCGGTAGGTGTTGCTCCTTCAGGATGCGTCAGACTGGTTGTCGTTCCCCTTCGCCTCCGTCACACAACGGAAGTGGGTATTTTTAACAGCCTGTTCTGTAGAGCCGGGTTGTGTGTTCGGGCTTCTTCTTTTCACGCTGATTACACCCAAGGCTGGATTATTCACTGGGCTTTAAGCTCGGCCCCATTCTCGGGGATGCAGTCTGACATTTTAGTTTGGCAGACACAGGCTCCCTTACATTGGCCCTGGACTATTATCCCGGTGTTTACCGCTGCACTGACCACCAACTGTGCAAAAAGCTCCTCGCGTCCATGCAGGGGCTTATTTCACGTTTGCACGGCGGCTTTGAGCAGAGCTCACGTGTAGGCCACAATGGGGGAGGAACGTCCTTGGGAACTGAGCTGAGAACCACATTTCATGAGACCAGCATCTCACATCCCGGGTGAGTTGGAGTAAAGACATCGAATCATTAATTCCTATGATGAAGACATCTGACGTGGCTGAGTGGCAGTCCAGAGCTTTACCGAACCGCCATCAATCACAGAGATGACAGGACACTTTCTCTTTGTCATGTGCAAGTATCCACCCTCTGATAGACTGGCAACAGGGTCTCTCTCTCTCACACACACACACACACACACACACTGGGATAATAATGAAATGTGATGAGGGTTCAGTCTTATCGCCAGAAAGTTGACCTCCGTCACCCGAAGGGTTCTTCATGTCATTCAGGAGGGGGCTTCCCTCCGGACGGGCACAGTCTCAACAGCCGCGGCAATTCCCGCCACGCGTTAAACTTGACTCGAATAGTTTAATTAGAAATGAGGTGTCCTGCATCGCAGCGACGCCGTGTGCCGACGTGGGTGGGTGGTAATGAAGTGCGCCCTTTACGCAGCAGATACTTTGAATAGACACAGCAGGGAAAGCACATCAACAAAGGCTCTGTTCCTTTCAAGTGTTCCCAGCGAGCCAGCAGGACCCTGACAAACCACGGCAGCTAAATGGAATGCGGCCGTCGTTCATTCAATTACTCAAACAACTGTCAAAATGTTGCACAAACGAGCATAAGCAACAGAATAAAACCTGCATGCTCAGATTTCGAGGGACTTGAAATCTCAAACATTTCTGCACTGACCGTGAAGTGGAGCGACGTTGATGCATCTGTCACCTTTATCGGGTGAATCTATTGAATTATATATTGTTATTCGTCAGCAGCTGAAAGCCGAATATTGTCGTCCGAAAATCTCTCATCATTATTCAACAAAGCAGTGAAACCAAAAGGAAAAAAAAATCTTCACGTATACTTTTTCCCAGATGGACTCATAAAGATTTTGAAAGTAACAATTTGTCTCTTTCATGCAAATGAAAACCCGAGGGCTGCAATTACAAACATCCTTGTGAAAGTATCGGTAACCTCGTGTGTTCTTTGTAGCAGAATAGGGGGAGGCAGTAAATGTGAGGTGTGGGTGGGCCGGGGGGTTCTGCAGCGCGATGGAGGCGAGACTCGCTGAGAAATGCAAATACCCCCCCGGCACCTACCTACCAAACAGGTCCCTCTGTCTCCCCAGCACCCCCCCCCCCCCCCCCCACCCCTACAGCTACACACTCGCATGCATCTCAGCCCCCCCACCCTCCCCTAGTGCACCAGCCCCTGGCCGGAAGACCTGTGGTGCAGAGTCACACTGATGTGTTTACTCAACAGCAGGGGGGGGGGGGAGGGGTGGGGGAGTCTGAGATGGATGGCAGGATGGAGGATATTGCTGGTAGGAAAATAGGCCGGACACAGGAAGAGCGGGTGCCGCCTCGGGGGGCTTTTCACACCTTATCCCTCACTCCGCTCGCTCGCCCGCACGCAGGCAGGACATGTGATGCGTGTGTATCACGGCAGCAGTTAGTATGTGCGGCGTGAGTCCGTGCACCAACCTCCTCAGCGTTCTGCATTCAAAGATTCAAGATTCTAAGATTTTTATTGTCATTTACACACCGTTTACAACCTGTGCATTGAAATTCTTGTGCTTGCCTTTCCGGAAAGCCGACCAATTTTAGAATTAAAATAAAAATCAGAATACAATATTTACATAAATGTACATGAAATAAAAAATAAAAAATGAGGTGACGAGAAAAAGTGCAAAACTGAGCAGGTTGTAAAAGAAAAATAAAAAAAACGTCATTTATATTGCACACATTTCAAAAGTAACAGTAAGTGAATCCTAACATAACTGCATGCTGCGTTAGTGGGGACACACACTCCCCGGGGGGGGGCAGCCCAGCCCAAACATCTGCATCCCTCAGCAGCAGGGCACCCTGGGTAACGGTTAGCCCAGTCTGCCCCCTAGTGACCACCAACAGGTCCCGGTGCATTGCCCATTACGGCCCCATCGCCCGCTGCATCCGGCTATCGGTGATTGGGTTACTTTCACCTGCCGTGGCAGCAGGGCCCCCTTTTCCCGCTCGGGCCCATTAGGACGGAGGCCTGTTTGAACCTGGCTTTTGTTTCTCGGGGCGGTGCTGGCAGGTCGGGATTAGGAAGCAGTGGCCCTCGTGCGGAGCGGTTCATTACTCAAAAGTGCATTATCCCGGTGATCGCATTAGAGTAATCCAACCTTCCAGCGTTTTCTTCATTTGTTGTAATTACGGCGTTGTCAGGCAAAGATGTAGCGCAGTCAGCCTCTCGTTCACGCTAACACGACGTTGCTAACGGAATCCCTTTGGGTTTTTCTCCACCGCCATGCACCTCACCCGACCCCCCCCTTCTCCACCACCACCACCGACCACTCCTTTCCCTCCTCCAGCTAGCTCCCTGCTCAACAGTGATATATAACCCGCCACTCTCCTCCCAACACAATAAAGCCTTTGTGTATTTTGACGTGAGGAATGTTCCAAATAAGGGACAGAGATAAACTTCCTGCTGCCGGCGTCTTGCCAGGAAAGCAACACGGTGATGTCTCTTCTCCTTAGCGCGTTGATAGCAGTCGCGGGGACGACTCTTTTTTTTATAGATTTTTCTATTCTCACCTAGTAATGGCTTCGCCGTCTCTTCCAGGTAGCCAGCGTGCTCCACGCACGTCATCTCGGATCAGGAACAAAGAGCAAAAAACGCCCGCTGCATTTGATGTCAGCCGCGGCTGGCTGACTTCAAATGTGCATTTCGTGGCAGAGTAATAAGGAGGCCGCCTCGCCGAATCACCAACGGCAGCGGATGAGGAGGGGAGGCGGGCTTGTTAGTCCTGGGAGCTCAATCAAACACTTTCTCTGCCTCCCGGGCAAGCGCGTGTCACTCTGTCTGTCTCTCGGGTGTGAAATAAGAACACAATGAGAAGAAAGTTTCAGAGAGGAGCGTTTTTTTACGACTCGTTTGGCGGGGGGCCGGCTGCGCACACTTTGCACGCGCTCTGCTCTCCAGTCGGTGCACTGTGAGAATAAGCGAGTCGCTGCTTCTTTGAATTCCTCTTAAGCGGCAACTGTCTCGCGATTGTCAATTTCATGCTTGATTAATTGTCATTACCTGGCGAGAGACAAAAAAAGGAAAAAAGAGGTGGAGAAATGCATTTTGGGATTAAAATGGAGAGCGAGACGTCCCTAAAGAGGAAGATTTAGTCGGTGCGAGGCTGAGCGTGGAATGAGAGGATTTTGCACACACACATTGCACTGTATTTAGCTTTCATTCTCCTCTGCAGAGACTCACTGGAGAATAGCACGGCTGATTGGTTCGGAGACTGGAAATATCTGTGCATCTGAAAGACGTGAAATAGACGTGATTATGGAAGCGCAGGAATTATGCTTATCATTACCTGACTTCACTCAAACAATAGCGAATTAAAAGCATGCATCGAAAGAGCGCTTTGACACTAATCAAGGCCATTGTGCAACGTCAGTTTAATCTGATGCTAATCAATATAAATGCCTCTATCTGTAATGTTTAAAACGGGATGGATCCACAGAAGTCATGATCAAAGTCGGGGCCTCCACGTGTCCCCTCAATGACCGAGAACCAAAGCCGGGACGAATAATCTCAGGATTCCGAGATAATGAGTCTGACGCTGCGAAAATAAGAAGCCATGTCAGATTTCAAAGCATTCTCCCCTGTCAGTGGTGTGATTCGCTATTTGCATTAACAAAGCGCAGAGGATCCCGCCGCGTCTCATATGGGGGCCCTTCCATTGAGAAGCTAATTCCGGCGTGGAACAAACGCGCGGCCAAATCCCACACAGAGGCGCTGCCAGATGTCCCGTTGGTCCGTATTCTTTTCAGCCTACGACTGCTGCATCCTTTCGCCCAGTGACATTTAGATTTCCTTTTGAGTTTAGTTCTGCTGGTTAGGCCTGCAGAGCACACGGATGAGTTTTATTTCTTTATTCGGATGAAATGCCGTGGGGAGGCCATGGGGAGGCTTTGAACCTGTTAAGACGCCTCGTCTAGATACTCGGGCGGCGCTTTTACGGGGCTGCAGGTTCCCTGTGTGTGTGTGACCATCAATCAGCTCCACCTCTTCTGTCCCACAGCCTTGGCCCTCCGTGTCCCACCTGGCGAGGGACTTTGTCCAGGGCCTGCTGCTGTTGGACCCGGCCGCGCGCCCGACAGCCGAACAAGCCATCCGTCACCCCTGGGTGGTCACCATGGCCGCCGGCTCCTCCATGAGGAACCTCCACCGCTCCATTTCTCAGAACCTCAGGCAGCGGGCGTCGCGCAGCTCCTCCCGGTGCCCGAGCAGCGCCGCCGGCTCCGGCGGGGGCCACCGGCGGGGGCCCGGGAGGGATAAAGAACCGGGAGCGGCGGCGAGGCAGAGCAGCCAGATGCTTCCAGGAGCACCGTCGGCCTCCGACTGAAGCGGCGCCTTCATGGGGGAGGCTAATGAGTGGAACCGGATGAGCCGGATCATCGTGGTCCGTGTGCGTGGCTTTCACAGAGCTCAGAAACCGGGAGGCAGGCGACAGGTGTTGGTTCCTCTCTGGGATTCCGTCGGCTGATTGGTTCCCCCAAAGGCTGAGGTCCATCCTCCATCAGTTTGGTGGTTAGCTTAGATTAGCTGCACGTTCAGTTTTGAGGTCCAGCCTTGTATTGAGACGGAGCCATGCTCCTCCAGACTAACGGATCCAAGGTCTCATCTGGATCCCCACGAGACACTAGATTGCCTGGTTGGAGGTTCATACCAAAAACAAGAAATCGTTGGCGAAATGGGATCCTCACACATTTTAACGCGGAAAGAAGCAACATCTTTTGTTTTCTCTCCTCCTACAGAGCACCACTCAAAGCTTAACACAGATATTCGGCGACAGGCCTCTGTCATTGGAAATGAGGCGCTGGGTTTAAGCAGCTCTCCCCTAAACATTATGCAAGCTGTCAACAGCGATCTCAAAATAACCTTTGGTTTCCTGTGAGAAATTTTAAATTGAAATGGAGTGTTAGTATGCGACAGGAGTGCACCAAGCCGTGAGTAGGATGCGAAACATAATTACCAACGAGGTTCAGTCATGTTTAGCAACATCACACATCACGTATTGTGGAGTTGTTCCTGTTTTATGTTTTAATCATTCACGATTAATGCTTTCGGTTGCAGATCCCAGTTGCACACGAGGATGCACAATGGATAAATGCCGGAGCGATTGGTACAGAATGAAAAGCAAGTGAGTGGGGAAAAGAAATAAACGGGAAAGGAAAATCAGCACTTTGGGACTAACATTTATTCATTTTTTGCACAATCAACTTTCTAATTGGAGTGATTGTGAGACGTAAAACTCTTTCATTGCATTCATTCATTCACTATTCCAAATGTGTCAGACAATATGAAAGATTTCACTCACGTAGCATGGCCTTCATCAGTGAGAGACTTCTAAATGTTGTTTAAAGACGTAACCTTTAACAGACAGCACATGTTGTCTAATTCAAAGGTCCACACCCTTTTTCCCGGAGCTTTCACTCAAAAAATGATCTCAAGCTTCATTGATTTGCTTTTTTCATTTTCTGTAACTGTGGAAAACAGCAAAGACCACCAACACCTCTGGGTAAAGTTGTGCTTTCTATTCTTCGTAAGCAATTCAACTTGCAAGATCATTTTCTCACCTGCTAATGGACGGTGATGGACGCTTGAACAACACGCTTGTCTAACCGGAGTCTGACCTCAAAATCTCGTCTAATGGTTTTGTTTACAGAGACGCAAACTTTTCTCTTATTTTCATTTTGGAACGTCTTGTTTTTCAGGACAATTACGTTACCAAACCAAAGTTGATGCACGGCAACAGAAAATATCCAGTAACAAGACCTTGTTTTTTGTCGTTTTTTCACCTCACCCTCATCCTCACGGATACACCAAGAATCTATTTCGCGTATTATCGTACGGATGATGTCATTTGGAAGAGTCCCATGTATTATTCCTCCAGCGAGGACCGTTGGAGGGCTGTTAACGCCTTTCAACGGCTGCCCAAACGCAGTGACCTGAGATCAACGTCCCTCTGGGGAGGAGATGAGCACGTCAGCAAGCAGAAAGACGGAGGGCACCAAACTGAAGGTTCTTAGCCAGCAGAGAGGAGATCTCCTTAAATTGCCCGAGCAAAGGGCGCGGCCTGTTCCTCCTCCGCGGTCTGATGAGAGCTGCACATTCTGCTCCAGCAGAGCCACCGTGAGGCGTCGCACGCGGCCTCATGTGGGAAAAAAAAATAATCTCCACCCAATTGTTTGAGCCCCCACGGTGCAGGTGGTTCCATATCTCGAATGCCGTTTGACTGCGCGGCCGAGGGATAGGAGATTTGTTATGCATTTTGTTTTTTTGCAAACAGAGTTCCACTCACAGATAGAGAAATCGGAATTGAATTGAATCCAAACAGCAGCGGGCATTAGCGGGAAGTCGCCTTGCCGCTCCACTCTCTGTGCCGTTACCTTTCAAAGGCGGCTGTCGTTTTGAAGCATTGTCCATCTCATGCATGCACACTCACTAATTCCACAGTTACAGTGGCTTTAGAGCGGGCAGTGAAAGCTGCTTGAGTATTTCGCTGCATATTTGCTCCCAGTCCTTAATGGAGTCCTGCCGATAATCCTTGTATTATGAAAGTCTCGTGCTGTGTGATCATTGGGCAGTTTATCCACACATGTAATCCCAGATGGATGCAAATTAACACGCCGTTATCCGCGGATCAGCTGTGGTATTGATTGATTGAAAGGGGCCATATATCGTTCCGCGTGGACTTTAGTCAGCCGGGCCGGACAATCGGGGAAGCAGAGTGTAGCAGAGATTAGCAGATAGCGTTGGCTCTCTTAACACCAGCGCTGCGCTACACGAGGACAAGTGTGACAGAAAAGCTCTTTTTTTTTTTCTTTTCTTGGGCTTGGCTCAGCAGAAAACCAGCGACTTATTTGCTTTATCTTTGGCCTCAGTTGAAGAGATCATTCGCTGCTCGGGACCCTGAAACATAAGCTGGCAGATCCACTCGGCGCCGCTGCGAAAATAAAAAAAGAAGAGGATAATAGAGGGGGAGGGCGGTGGAGTGCTGCACCACAGTCCGCCAAACTCTTTCATCCAGGGATGCATTTTTCAAAAAGCACAAATCATCATAAGATCACTATGAGAGGTCATTGGTGCATAGATCTTAAATGGGAAAACCAGCAATTTTACGGAAAATCCCAACATGCGTATTAATTAATACATAATTGTATTAAATGTTTTACTACTCTGTCAATGAGAACAAATTCATTCTTATTCTTCTCACATCATTTTCATCCCTTAATCAAACTACCTTTTATATTGCGTAGATCAGTAGGCTGCTATTATCAGAACAACGTGAACATCCAGGCTCTCTCGGTTCTAAATGTACTGCAGATGGTTTTGGAATAAATTCTGTGTTCGGGTACGATTGTATTGGTCCTATTGCTGAAACCCCCCCCCCCCCTCATGGAGGAAATGCACCCCTTCCCTTCATGTTTGTTCCCACACGGTTGTTGCGTTCAATGTAAGTGCCACTTATTTCTATTGTGTGAACCAAACACCCAGCATGTCAAATATTGGGGTCTTTTGTGAGCTGCTCAGCAGAGAGATTACTTTCCTGAAACAGCAATTACAACTGCACTCCACCTTAATGATTTGAGAGGAAAGAACGGTTCGCATTTTTAGCCAGTTAATTGCTTTCTTTCTTTTTTTCCAGACGAGCGGCGCTATTTGCCGCCGTCCCGTTGTTGTGCTGCACGCGCATGCGGCACAGGAACACAAGGTGGGTCAATACTTTTCTCATTGCGGATACAATAAAAGTAAACTGTCTCATTATTCATCCCGCTCGGAAATTCCCATTTAGATTGTAGCCTGTACCAGTTGTTTTGACGCTTCAAATTTGTGTGAGCTGCGGGGCCGAGCGGCTCTGTTTTGGCTGCAGCTGGTGGACACTGTTCACTGATCCGAGGCCTTTCAGGGGAGCGGCATGTTGGTCAAATGAAACAGGTTACATTCAAATCAGAAGAAAAAGGATTAGTTTATGCCAGAAACGCACAATGGCGACATGTTTTTTGCTTTCACAGATACGGTGGCCTTCATTTCTGCAGTGCAAATCTCTGTGGTTTCTCTTCCACCCACAGACCACTCAGATCACGTCGAGGGGTCAGCTGTGCTCAGTGTACATTCCACATGCTATAAAAAAACACGACGACTCAATATGTTTAACATTCCCATGTGGACATTTAAGGCAAATCACATTAATGCATCTTCAGCGTGCATTGTGCACAATCAATATCCCAGAAGCAAGCATAGCAGTGTACCAACACTAATATACGGGTGTGAAAGAATACAATCACATTTTTAATTATGCTTATTTGCATATTGAAAAATGTGGTTGGGTTGTTTAGACGTTCACACCCCCTCAACTGTGTATGTGTGTAAATGAATGTAGTGTAGTCTCCTCTTTGGATGAGTATTAACATCCCTTTAATGACCCTGAACCCCACAGGTCACTCAGCTGGGAGGATATTTACCCTCGGCCATAGAATGTGTTTATTGTGAATTGTGAATGTGTGTCATAGAATCCGTCCGTTCCATCAAACTCAGCAGTGTGGAGGCTGAGTGGCGTTTGGCACCGGTAGCAGGGCACCAGTGGGTAATGTGCTCCAACAAGGAGCCGAAACAAGCTGTTGTTGTTTTTGTGTTCTCACTGAAACATGGTGGAGTTTTTCAAAACGATGTGGCTCCTTTTCCAATGAATTTGTATCCTGCCACGTTGGTTCTATTGGTTATATATTTTAATTATGAAAAATAAAAAGTATAAACAGCTGTTACCAGACAAATATGAATATGTCGATTCTGCGGAAGGCTCTGACAGGCTGCCGCGCGGAGCCCCGGCCCCGGCGCCGGCTCCCATCGGGGCCCGGCGGAGCTTCTGGACGAAAAGAGGAGCAGCAGCTGCTCCAGCCGGAGCTCTGAGTGCAGGTCACTGCCGGAGGCCCTTCTGCAGTCTGAGCTGAAAGCGTTCTCCTCAACCTGCAGGGTTTCGTCTGATTTGGTGGGGACCAACATTAGGAATAGCTGTGTAGAACGACCCGTTCTCCTCGCTGTTGGTCTTCTGCTGTTCAGTTTGTTTACTACATGATGTCCTAAATTATATTTATTCAAAGCCCCGTCCATAGAGTGAGGAACAAGATCTATTTCAGTTGCAGGACAAAGTCGCCTAAAACAATTTCAGAGTATTAAACAAAGCTGTTAAAAGATCACATTGTGGGATTCGTGTATGAGTGAAATAACCCCATGACACGTTAGTGGCCCCTGCAAATGTACATGTACATACACTCACCGCTCTGAAAGTATGTTTCCAAGGAAGTCCAAGTTTTCAATTTGCAGGCCAACCCCAGAGCTTTGAGGTGGACTTCAATATCCATTTATCACACCTGAAATGTGGGCTAACATCGTTTTTCTTCACTATTTATACCTCTATACTCCTTATACCCTTGTGTCACATTACACACCAGGAAGCTGCCCGGTACAATCATAATCTGACTGCTGGCCACGGAGAAGCAGCGCCATTACCGATTGCTCAGGGACAGAAGGGAAAGCATCAGGGATTCCCTTCCTTCAGCCCCGAAAGCACTTCCCCAAACTTCACTCTTACTCCCCTCCATTCATTCCCATTACAAAAGGCTTTGTTGCGTTCCTGATTGAGACGTACGGCCCCTCCTCTCTCCCACCACCGCCTCCCGAGAAAGACATGCAGACCGTACGGGTTCTAGTCCCCGAGGAGCCAACGTCACTCCTTTCAACGTGTCAGGTTTGTTCCTTTTCAGGAATGCGTAAAATACTGATTATCATTTGATTACAGGAAGGTTTTTCTTTTACCCAAAGCCGATCCAAAGGCCTTTATATCAGCCTCCGCTCCGTTGGCTTCACTGACTCCTCTTCACTCGCAGGAGCAGATGGGATGGAGGATGGAAAGTGTCACTTGCATCTACATGTGTGCACTTCAGAAAATGTACAGTCAATATATATATTTTAATGTTGACGCACTTCTTCGCATTTCCCAAGACCGATGTGCTGTAAAACGCACGTTGCAATAAACGATGAAAGAGAAAAAGTACGGGGTCAACTCATGTCTGCAATTTTTTTTAAATAGTCTGTTTTGTTCACTAAAAAGCAACTCAGACAGTTTATTTTTGGCGGCATTCAGATATGTATATTTCTCCTGAAGCAGACATCAGCAAAAAGAGGCTATTATATTTCTTTCCCAGATAGCATCTTATCCATGAGACATGAGGTTAAAATACGCTCTGAGATTTGATGAGAAAATAGAATAGAGACTACCTTCTGGTTTGAAACATATACTGTATGCATGCATGTATATATATATATAAATAAAAGCGCACAAAACACACACACAGGAAATTAATCACATGTATAGATAACTGTCTTAGATGACTTTTCTTCTGTCAATGTTATGTCACCTTACAGTTTCTCATTTTCGGGCACTCATCTTAAAATATATTTGCTTCAGTTTTCAGTCATTTCTGCATCAGAGTAAGTGCAGCGGAGAGAGACGCTGACACAAAGAGGACAGGAGGAACAAAGGAAAAACTCCAGACAAAGAGTCATTTAATTTCTTTGAGGCAGTCCTGAGGTGGTTGCATTAATATTCTAGTATTTCACACACTGTTTAATTTAAAAGACATGGTGTGATTTTGCATTTCTATTTATACATTTTTATCTCCAGGAATATTTCCACAAACATTCCAAGATTTAAATCATATTTAAATGAATCTATACTGTATTCTACACTTTGCAAATGTTTGTGCGTTTCTAATTCCTTTTGGAATAAAAGCCGTCAACCCAAAAAATAGCTTCGATGTTTTGATCAAGATCATTTTCTCATTGAATAGCTGACGACCACACCAGAGTTCCAGAGGGAGCAAATATCAGATCATTTAACAGAGATAAACTGTATTTGTATTGGATGATAATGTTGTTTGCCTTTCATTTTCAAGTGAAAAGAAATGATGCAGTTTTGTGATTTCCAGCCTTATATTCACCAACAGGTGCAAGCTTTCGCTCAGCCGTTCAGGCCATTACATTAGTGTGTGTGTGTGTGTGTGTGTGTGTGTGTTTTTACTCTGTTTGTACCGTGTGGTCCTGAGAACTGTATAATGTTTATCCTATAGGAGCAGATATTGCAGTGTGAGCTAAATTGATTCCCCTCAGCAATCCCAGCAGCAA